TTAGGTCCGACTAGAAATGTCAGATTTGTGGTTTCTGCCTCAGTCAAACTGTTCTCGTCGCCTCTTTCTCGCATAAAAATTGTGTTTATCAACAGCATTATTAGAACTGGTTTTACTTTATTATCATTCAAGTATTTCAGGCACATATTCTATGTATGAGAAAAATTACCTTTAATATGTGTGTTTAAGTAGTCACTGTCATAGTTTGTTTTCATACATATGAGGTCTATGAATGACACTAAACAGCTTCATCATCTTTGTATCTTAAATATATAATCTTTCAATATAAATTGAACACATGATAAATGGTTCAAAGTCCTTTTACACGTGTCATATGACCTAATATTGCATTTGTAACACGATCCCTAACCGATTCCTATTGAAGTGTTTAATAACAGGTGTTTTCATTGGTACAGTAAGACTAGTATAAGGCAATGTGTATTCAGTGTAAAGGTTTTGTGATCTTCAAATATAACCTACCAGGCGACGATGTTTGATTTTGAGAAAGGGTATTGTATTTAACTTCACATATTTACACAGCAGTGTAATCAGTACATAATTGACATTACATTACGAAGACAGTTAAGAGAGATGTTTTAAAATTAAAGACAAAAAACGAATTTCACTTTTCTATCATCTCTTGTTTATCATTTTGATACTAATGGAACATGTTTGTTATGTGTAGTTAGGAAATACATTGAATGCGTACATGGGTATTTTTGATATACATATATACACCTATCTGTTTCTCTCACAACACATGTTAGTTGTTGAAGAATCTCATCCACTTTGATAAAATAAGATAATTCCATAAGACTTGAGAAGTATACAGTGTTCGAAACTATTACTACGTTTGAATATATACAAGTAAAGCTGTAAATCTTCATAATATAAACTGCAAAGCAGTCGTCAATGGTTGACCTATTAAATGTTACTAGTTTCTTTACAAAGATTGTCTGTTTAAAATTTAAGCCTACTAAGCCAGCTTATACGTCTGCATGTCAATGTTCTGTATAGGGTTCGGATGAAGTGCATCACTTCGGACACGTTACCTACGTGTTAGTGATCAAGAGCGTGAGGTATATATTTATGGTACTTTCGTAACATAAAACCTTATCTACATATAAATCATGCAGTGGAATCAATGTGGATATAACACGAAAATGTCTCAAATGAAATGATGTAGGGCTGTAAGTGTAGGACATGCCCGGTAACTAACCTTCCACCAGACTGGTTAGGTAAACATATCTCCACTGTCACGACACATACCAAATAAGGGTGATTAGATGTTCCATGACTCCTCCGGGGGCATGCAGGCTGAATGTGGCAGAGTCATGTGACGTGTTCATGCTGGTAAATAAGAGTTCCACAGATATTGATTGAAGAGGCCATGTGTATCAATTCTCAAATATATTTGACCTTGAATTAGTGTTGGATACAGTAAAGTGATATTGCAGGTCTCAACAGTTGCGTGGTCTCGTTGTGAAGTTATTTTACATTGTGTTTCCGTCCTAAAGCTTTCATCTCCGGTGTTACAATGCAAACCATTTATTTAACACTCGAAATACATGTCTACGAATTACAGGCGTTTGAGATAAATTAACAGGGATACAAGTTTCCATAAAATACACTGTTAAGTTTTCACAGGCAATCTTTTCTAAAAAAAAAAAATTATCAAGTAAAAATGAAAATATTCTAATACATAAATATGTATTTGTAGTGAAGGATAGTGGATCTCGATACTTTGAATGTCTACACAATACCGTTGGAGTATTCAAGCATACTTAGGCCGTTGGACTTATCAATGGATTCCGACACAGACGTTCTGAACGAGGATATTCAGTAGACCATTTACCGGGGTAACACTTTTTAAAAAGGTAGGTTCAAACTTAATTGTCCTCTCTTTAGGCATTTTTTATGTGCACATTGTTTACGATAAACCTGTATTCCTTCAAACCACGTCAGAAAGATACTAAAAGATGTCTCGTTGTTGCTATGTTGTGGATATGAAAGGTAACTTTAACCATTTTGGATGATGAATCTTTTGATTGTTTCTAACAGTTTTCATAATGTTGTTTTATTAATCTGATATTGTTGTTAGAAAATAAGCTGCAGTGAAAATGTCGATATTGTAGATACTATTTCCGATTGTCAACAATAAAACGTTAACCCGAGATCAGCACATTTAAAAGTCATAACCTCTTTTGAGGAAATATCTCATAGATTAATGAAAAATCAAAAGAAATGTGTCTGCCTACGCTATCTTATCCTATCGCGAACTTGTAAAAATATTCAAGACGTGACGTAATTTACATTTTACTGTCATGAAAATACCGATTACACTACACGAATTTCCTCAGACAGTGCGTCATAGGTTTGTATCACTTAAGCCAAAGCAAATAGGTACATCTTTCCATTGTAAATATATCCATCGCCAGCCTTGTTCAATAAGCGCTGGAACCAGCGAAAGGCTGAGCAGACTTGTACCATTGAATATCGGACACCAATATCTGCCACATAAATCACCTTACAACATCATGGAGCCAATTATCACACAGACAATGCGGCTTTCATTGATTTTCTTTCACTATAATATTGACACTGCACTTAAAATTAATCTAAATAGAATTATCGGACCCGCTGGTGATTTCTTGTTTAGCTTTGATTTCCATAGATGATATTTTCTGTCTTTTTCTGTCTGTCTGTGACGTCAAATTGTACTTGATTGGTTATACCGTCAGCTAATAAGGTAATTTCAATACATGTTTGTATTACAGCTTACATCTCACTGAACACATTTTGTTTATTAACACTCACCTGTAAAAGGTTATATTAAATGCTGAAACGAAACAAATGTAAGAAAACATTAATTTAATTCATCATAAATAATTCTTATCTTCACCTTTGGTTTATGAGCAAAAATCGGAGGTTATTTAGTTCTGAACTCCGGGCATGAAAATATTGGATACAGTATGTGATTATTAACCTGCTGTGGGCGAAGTCAAACGAATGAATATGAAACCCATATCAATTTCTAGCAGCTGTATAATCGAATCACCAGTGATAACATGACGCTTTAGTTTCCTTACACAGACCCATGGTGTTTCCACAATATTGAATTAACTGGCGTTATTTATGGTACAGCGAAAAGAATGGAAGATATTGAAACATGCCAAGCACATTATAAAAACGTACACTGAACAGTACACAAATACGAAATAAATAAGGAAAAGCGTTAGAATAATTACTTATTTAAACTTTAATCCCATTAATTTAACCTATTGTGAATAACAGATAAACTGCCTACACGCTGTTGCTGTGGAGTGTATAATTGCATGTTATGCTGTTGCCTGTGGATATCTTTTTTTTTTTTCGCACAAAGACATTTTTTAGTAAATGTTTCAGAAGAGGTTTTTGGAACAAAATTATGTAAGATATACAAGAAAATTTTCTTCTGGTGAACATAGATCTCTGGTTGCGTTAAATGTCAATGCATTATGAATAATATCACTTCGATATCTGGTGTTTGTCCATTTAGACACGAGTTCCACGACTGATCATTATCGATTTGTAATTAATTATTGATAAGTTATATCTGACCGCTTGTTCATCCGCATGGTCCTACCTAACTCTCTGACACCGGATGTCAATATACACACTTACACAGGTCAAGGGTACAACGCCTGTATCAAAGACGCCAGAAACCAATATTCTAATGTATATCTAGTCTAATATGTTAGCTTACGACAAACCAATTAGAAAATAAATTGGTGGTTTGTGTTATCTTTGCTACGAATGATGTGGCAGTGTAGAAATGTAAAACTTGCAATATACAATATACTTCAACATGATTGTTTTTTTTTTTTTTTTTTCCATTACTTTTCCATTAATATATAATTACATTTAGACAATCATCAAGAAAATACCAACATTGCAACATAATCATAATTCAAAATCAAATTGCATAAAACTGGGGCAAAATATGAAAAAGAAATATTTACACGTCGACTCCTGAAAAAGTGTAAGGAGAATAAGTCCAGGAGTTCCGGAAAAATAAGCGTCTTTTGCTTCATCCACCATGTAAACCTTGGTCAATCCAAATAATTAATGTCACGTTATTAAATGAGAACAAGGTATGCCAACAGACAAATTATTGAGCATCAAATACATCCAGCTTCCTGTTGTACAAAGAAAAAGAATATTTCTCTATGAGATCACTATGGCGACCATAAAAGGATAACGATATCAGGATAAGGATAACTTCAAATATTTAAATTGATAGAAAAGTATAAAACATTTCCGCAATGATAAAAGAAATTGATAGCAATAAAACATAAAAGAACAAAATCCAGCATTATAAATAGTTGACTGCTTTTGTTGTTCTTTACTACATTCAGCATCACTAAGAGACCTCTATGTATATACGTACCTATGTAGTATTAGTCACGTAATGTACATGCTCATAACATGGAGTCAAAATGCATGGTAAGCTTGACAACGTGAAATACCAATTATGCTATCGGAATATCTAGCTTCATCTTTTTTGTTGTTATAATATGTATCATGTTTTTGTTGAGTATCTTACTAAATAAGATATATAGACATATTTTCCATCGCCTTGGCCTTCATTCGGCTATATAACTGCTTTGAAACATTGATAGAGAAAACTGACTGGTCATTACGAGACAGCAGACGGACCGAACCATATAAGTCACAACGAAATATATACCTGATTAAGTTATCAAAACCTACATCATCAATCTGAATCGATAACCTGTTTATAATTTAAAACCCTGGGGTAATAGGCTTTCCTCTCAATCACATCAAAAGCTCAGCGCACACTTATAAATAATGCAAGCATTGTTGTTTATGAACAAGGTAACATCGGTCACATGCATATGTTACAGCAAGCTGATATCTATAGGGAAACTGTGAGCACTGGTCTTTCTGTAAAGGCCCGCAAAGACAATTCAACTCTGTCCATCGGGCTATTATCGAGTATGAGTATGACAATGAATATAAGACAGAGTTCTATCGAACTTAATTGTTCTAAAGTTATAAAGAGGCAAACATCAATGGATACATCAGCCTCTTCGTGTTATAAAAAGAAACAGCTGGTGGTATCCAAGTCTGCTAATGAAATGACATTCAATGATACCAGTTCAAAGCGACAGGAAATCAAAAGACAAAATTCAACTGGAAGTATATCTAAAGCAACTTTCCAAAAACAAACCTCAACGGAAATATTTACATCGACCTCCCGTCATCTTCGAAAGGATTCTTACATTGTTAGGACCGACAGAAAAAATCCTGATATACTCACATGTCGTGTTTGTCAATTTCAGATGACCATCAATTCACAACGATTATTTGAGATCCAGGAAAGACTGGAAAAGTTACTGACAGAGAAGAAAGTTCTCAACTCCAAAATAGTTGCCGAGTCTTTCAAGAATTTCCAGACGCAAGTGACAAAGGTAAATATACCGCTTATATTTTAATTTTCATATGACTTTACATTAGCTTCTTCAAGAACGTACATAAGTTTCATGCCAATAGAGAAATCTGTCTATTCACTTGATCCTCTCATTGTTGGTTACACAAAACGTTCCCGTATCTCATAACCGATAACATCATTGTTGTCTTTTACGGATTTGTACTGATTAAATTTTGCATGTTGATGACACAAGAGAGGATGGAACGCCTCTCACCTCGTCTGATTGCAGAATCGGTCAGACAATTATCTCATCCTGCTTTTTGTCAACTTAGGATAACAATAACAATATTTGGATCATCGAGCAGTTATAAAATGACACTATCTTAACATATAATTATAAAAGGACTACTACTTTAAGCAATATATCTATGTTATATACAGTTGTTTTATTAACACTAGTTCCATTCATATCTGCATATAGTGTATAGCAGTAATCAGTAATGTTAAAAACATACAAAGTGAAAAGGTGAAAAGCGAGTCCGGAAAAAATATCAAATGCCTTCTGTATATTGTCTTAAGTTATACATTTCATAGCAGTATCTTTTCTTTGTTAGTTTTATATATACAATAGGGTCAGACAACCTAGACACAGAATAATTTATCAGAGATGTAAGTACATGAGTATTTCTCATCCTAGAATGGCACTTCACTCTTCTCTTTGGCTTGTTAAGATTGATCTACGCCTTAGGATATAAGCACTTTCAAAGAGATTGAATGTGTGCCTCACGTGTCGAGATAGGAATCGGTGCCCAAGGAAATATTGATGTTAATATAAGGGGCAATGTCGATGTCGCCAGGATCGACGTATACTGCTTCAATGTATATTATCAAATGCAACTGATGACGAATCTTATGCTTGATATTTAAAGAAAAAGTATGTTTAAAAATATATTATGTGGCAAAGAATACGTTCTTTACACAACATGCATGCGTAGATCATAGAAGTGATAACATCACTTCAAAGCCTCAGGTTCTTCATACGATAAATAGTGACACTGCGCTCAGATGCGCCCTTGTATGTTTTGAAATTGCATCAATTTTGCAATAAATTCTTAATTTGTATACTAATTTACATAACAGCCATATATCCGCAACCTTGGCGGGTTTGTACGTTTTATGAAAGATCTGTAAGTGTATAGATGAATAGAGAATAACCAAGTCAAATACCAAGCAGCTGTAACATATTAGATAATTTAAAAAGCATACATATGCTAAACTTGATTTTTAAAGCAACAATGTAGCTTATAATTCATCCTTTTTCCTACAAGTAACTGATAAGTTGGAAGCAAATATTGCTGTGAACATTTCCCGTATGTGCTATTTAACTAAAAGATCTGACACTTTCATTTATCTGAAAGTATTCATTGATATTTATATTGATGATTAATAAAAAGAAACATATAACTGAAAAAAAGGATATCTATGGTAACAAGTAAAAAAAACTTATTTTTTCTTTTACACCAAAACATGAGGAAATCAAAATAGTGTGACGGTTTATGATATCGATAAATCGTGTTCTTTTTATTTTGATGAAAAGGTATCAAGTGCCTAACTGCTGTTGTACATATATATATTAGCGGTTGTTTTATTTTATCACTTTTTGCGATGGAAACATTGCCTTTAAACTTGGAAATTTACGCGAGGGGAAATTTACGCTAATTATGCGAAGGTCGTTAGATCGCGATAATTTACCAAGCGGGAAATATTTTGTAAGGTGCTTAAATTTTATAGACGTGATAGAATGAAATTTGATCCCGAAAGTAACTCCCACGCGTATTGTTTACCAACAGAAATCGCCAATTACCTACCCACCACCCACCCCAGTAAATGATTGATGTGCCTTTAATTTTTACATACTATGGTTGTACCAAACGTAAATAAAGGTTTGATTTTGTTTGTTTGCATTTGATAGCACATTCTCTGTTGACATATTAGAAACACTTCGAACGGTGTGTTTTCAAATGTTGTCATTAGATATAATGCTAACAATAAACAATCATATATAGGAGTATCATGAAAGCAACTGGTATACGAAACGCATATTTGTAATTTGTAAATTACTTTATCTAATTTCCCTATTGAAATCATATTCCAGATGCTGATACGGAATATTTACATAATGATTCACCTTTTTTGCATTTTGTAAACTCTAATGTTATAATATCAGAGTAAAGGGTGTTCTATGTAATTATTTCCATGCCAATCTTTTTTAAGACAGGTAGAAGCGAATACCTTACTAGAACAGTTCTTTATGGTATGTTCAATCTCTGTCTCTCGGTTTGGCTAGATTGTTTCTTGTTATTCTGTAACTAGATATAGACACAGTCCATTTATTTTCAGGATTGACTACATGTATTTGACGTTGTTTTGAAATAATGCAATAATGCGATTTATTTTATTTAATGAATTTCGATGCTGGTGCACCAGTACCGCTGGTTCAGGGTGATTAATTTTTACCACTTTCGATTTTCTCCAGTTACCACTTAGATTTTACCCATTTACACCATTAGCGGAATGGCGAGCCCTACAAGGATGAATAAGTTGTGTGGTGTAGTTTAATTATCAAACTCTATTGTGTCTTATTATCTATTTATATGAAAAAAGGTACTATTCACTTATCTGACTTTTGTGCAATCTTCAAACAAACCCCATTATCTTCCTGTGTCTCACTACGGCATATACTTGCAATACAGTTTTTCTAACAGATCGAGATCATAAAGATGCAGGTTGATGAAAATTATGGGAAAGTTGTACGGTTGTCATAGTGAAAAATATTCTTTTCTTTGTGTGATATGAAGCTAGGTGTGTTTGATGCTCGTTAGTTTGCTTGTTGGTTCCGTTGTTTTTTACCTTGTTCTCATTTGAGAACGTGACATTACTTACTTGTATTGACCACGGTTTACATGGCGTGTGTCGTTGATGAAGCAGAAAACGCCTGGTCTTATTTTCTTCTCCGTATCAATCTTTCTTTTGTTAATATTTTGCTCTAGTTTTATTGCATTTGAGTTTGTATTATGATTATGTTGTCATTTTGGTATTTTCTTGTTGTTTTTATTGAATTTGAGTTTTGATTATGATAAGGTGAACATCTTGGTATTTTCTTGTTTTTAAGGTGGGGTGTTTAAAAGGATGTTCACGTCATCGAATTTATATCATACAACATCCTTTAAAGATGAATATTATCTTCTATTGTATTATTGTTTTATTTTGCAAGAAAGGAGGCCTTTCCAACTTGTCTTCTTTACTTTTTATCTATTGTATTAAAAGTAGTCTCCAGCTTCATAATCATTGATGTCGATATATTTTACACACAACGTAGGTTTCGTCTCAGGCATATAAAAATGACATTTTGATTAGAACATATAAGAGAGTACCACGTTATATACATGTTAATGTTTTCCGTTATATACACAAACCAACGTTCAACTGGGAAACACTTTTCATGTTTTTAAAGATGCAGAAAACATAATTTATCAACGAATCGAAAGCATATTGGTCAATTATCGTCAGCTATTTCAACAATATGTTGCTCTATTTTAGATTCGAAACAGACAACCTGCAGACATAAAACCGGCGATTCGTCGTCTTGAAGGTTCACTGAAAAGTGAAGGCGCCTACAAAAATGTCAAAGGAGGATTTGAGTCTATAAAGTTAGAAATAACAGAGGTAAGTCACTATGTTTTATTCCACTCCATCTATTCCCTGTCCTTTTCTTTACACACAAATGAGTTTTATTAGTGGAAACTTATTCATGCACCTATTGTTATTTAGGAATCTCAGATTAATAAAATGGTGCTCCTATTGTGGATTTTTTGGTTCATCCCATTAGATATCTATTTTACGAAGAAGTATAAATTTAAAGATGTGTTTTTATCGAACACCTTAGCACTTTAACAATCGGCACGATATCAACACGAAGCAGTTAAGGAAATAAGCTACACATCGATTTATTTTTCAAACACGTGTTGTCTCTACTTTCCTTGTAGCTTTTGTTTCTGTTTTTTGTTCATATATATATATATATATTTAATTATATACATTTACTTCACTTGTCCAATGTTACATCAGACGTTATCGCCAACAATAAAGCAAAATGCAACTTTGAAGTTTGTATACACCGAGAACCCGCATTACGTACTCATTTATATTTTTTATGTATATAAAATATATTTTCTAATTTTTCATAAAACGTTAGACGTTGTTATTCTTATACACCTTTGATACTTGATTCTATAGTCACAAACCCTATATGATAACACGGTGCTCGCTGAATATCATCCAATAAACTAAACGACCCAGTAGGCTCACCGAAAATCATTCCCAGGTCCTAAATAGTTAGGCGCGTTCGAGTTTCAACTATATATTGTTTGGTTTTGAGAAAATTGCTTATTTTATGTATAATCTCACTCTGTGGTGATTCGAGTATTTGTAAATATTGTTTATTTGTATACTGTTTCTGTAGCTTTGTATCATGCTAATTTATTTATTTTTTTTTTTTATTTTTTTGAAAAATTGCCTGATAAAAACTTTTCGAGACAAACCCAGACATAAATTCCTATCTTATCTCACTCTCGAAGATAAATATCGCAGGGTAATAAGCATTTCTTCATACCTTTTATAAATCATTACTTATAGTCTTATAACACATACCGACCTAACAATATGAATATTTTACCCTTTGTTGTCTACATTCTGTTTCTGCTACAACCATATGGATAAATGAATAGCATAACGCAATCTTTTAATAAACTAAACTTTTTTAAAACTTGTTTGATAAAAATCTAGAATTAAATACAGTAATGTGAAATTATAAAGTAAACTGAATTGTACAACTGTTTTGTACTTTTAGAAATTTTGAAACCTAGAAACCAGACGAAAATCAAACATCATCTAAAGAAATATTGAAACTGCTTGCACTAGTCCGATAACTTCTTCATGAAAATGCTAACATTCGCTTTGGCGTATTCCGTTGATACTTTTCAAATGCAGGAAAAGTGTGTCCATGTACCTAACATGTCCGCATTATCTTTCTTGTGTTGTTTATGTTCATGACGACGTCTTCCAATTTTTTATTTATCCATCTGTTTGTCATTTGTTTTAATATATTGCGGTTTCCGTCGTATTCACTTTTGTTAAAACCACCCATTTGTATCTATTAAACTTTGTATTTAAATTTCACGCCAGTCTTTGTCTCTGTGTTGATGCCGTGGTACACTTTATATTGTAGTATCGTATTGAATTTCATGGACATGTATTATATATCGTATTTCAAATTTCATGAAAGCACAAGCGATCGATTTCCCTGTAATTGCTGAGGTCCCACATTCATTTCGAATCTGCAGTGCTACCATTTTATTGCTTCATCTGATCGATGACTTCAATACATGTTTAATAAATCAAACTTATTGTTTCGTATTTGAAATATCTTTAGTGGAACAAATGTAGTGTGCCATGCTGTCACTAGAAACCATGCATATTTTTATATTAACTGTTATCAATGCTCTGACAGGAATTGGAATTTGTTTACTGTCAAGGTGATTTATTCACATTCGTCTGTCTAGATATTCAAAGTATAGACCTTGTTTTATGTCACTCTTACTTCATATTTTATTTATCAAAACGGTTCAAGTTGTATGCATAATTAATCAACATTTGAGGACAAGTAATTGTTGTATAGCCCATTTTTGTTTTACCACTATATGTAGGATTTTAGATGAATTTCCATTTGATAAACGAATCTATGAATTTTCTTTCCCATTTTGCGAGCTGAAAGGAGATGAAATTCGTAACGAATTTTATAAATCATATAGCAAATGGCATCGAATTGAAGATCCATTTCATCAAGATCTGGATTAAAACAACATTTCTACGTGAGCCTTCAAATCATGTTCGCTCTATATAAATGTTGTTTATTGTTACGTCAAATTGCAGTATGTGAATGTGTGACGTCATTTGATCTTAAAGTAACGTTACAATAAGCAACATAATAAAATCATGACTTGGATATATTCACCGAAAAGCATGAAAACATGAGATAAAATGGTATATTGAATGAGATCAAATTAAGAAGTGGTGTGTTATTGTCATAGAAAAAGGAAAGTTGAATGAGTCGAGTACCAAACATAAATCATTAAATGGCATCAAGTCTAGAGTGAATGTCTCTTATAGATCAGAAGTAAGTTACTGCTTTATATTTTGCATTTTACTCCATAGACACAGCTGAGCATAACAAATAATATATCATTCAGCACCTCAAACATTACTGTAACTATATAAGTAGATGTGTATTTATTAATCTTCATATCATGGGTGAGACATTCCACTCATTCAGCCGATTTATTATTAAAGTACACCAAATGAACCGTGACCAGTACATTTATAAGTCTATAAGGAACATTAAACACGACAATAGTGAAAAAATCTATGATCTTCGTTTTTGTCTCATATAAACACATTAGAGCACAGATAACGAAAACGACCAGGCGAATGCAATTTTTCTCGGCTAGACCTTGTACCCTAGCATTGTTGGTAAATACTCAATAGATTTACTAACTCCATTTAAATCATTAGAATTTGACTTTGTCCAATAAATAAATTGAAGTCTGACCTTGAATTAAATGCGTTTGTGTGTCCCGCTGATAGTTGTCATTTTGATGTATGGCTTGTTTGACAACCATACACGATATATGACTGCATTCTGTGCAAGGCATTGAGGTCATCCTTTTCAATTTTTGTTTACAGAGATATGCAATTTGTTTATCGAACAGACGCCGGTTTTATTAATTAAGGTATAAATGCTAAATCAAATAATGCAACGTGGAACAACTGTGTTAAGTGATATACTGCGTCATTTATTGAATTAAACGATCAAATACGTTCATCTGCTGTTTGCTACATTTAACTTTACATTGTATATTCAAATTATGTCATCAATATCAACATGCATATTACTTGCCATGGGAATTGAATTGAAGTTAACATAATGACGAAAAATACAAAAGGCAATGTTTTTTAGGAAATTTATCTGTCAGAAATATATTGCAGGTCGTAGAACGACAGGAGTATGTCACGGATAAACCACCAACCATTTTGACGTCACCTACTAAAGTCCCTGTCAAATCGCGGGACTCGGTACCAGCAACGTCACCAAAGCCGAGTAAAAAACCTGCTCCACGGGCGACAACTGTGACATTATCACAACAGAGAGACCGCGGAAAGCGTCAAACTATGCCCAGCATACAGAGACCGGTTATAAAAGAGGAGGCTACCAGTCTTTCGCCTAGAACTATACAAACAAAGACACCAGCATTGGAATCGTAAGTCGAGAGGTCACTCATTCCTAATCCCCTTGTTCGTAGCAATATATACCTTTAGCCTGATTTGACCGAAACAATTCAAAACAGATGGGTATTTGGGATGATTTTCCAATGTATCTGTGACCTGACATTTCAGGACATACTTTTATCAGATCAACTATGATATACTTAATGTAACAGCAGTTTTCAAATTACCTAAACAAGTTAAACCTCCTCTTAAGTTCGAGTTGTCCAACCTGCAATTCGTTAGACATCATTTCTGTTCATCGAATTTTACTAAACAAGATTAATTTTAAAACCAAATTTTACAGAAACCTTTAACATCACAGACATATCTATTTACAGCGTCATCTTAAATGTTTTTAAAACACGTCTTTCAGAAAGGACAAGGATGGGAAATTGGTGAACCATCAAGATATCTTATCACTAAACAAGACCATATCCAAACTGTTCAATCATCTTGCAATTGATAAACCGGGCGTGACGGATTCACCGCCGGTCAAAGGTCAACAACCGGTAAAATCGCAACAGAAGCCGGTATCAACTGGTCAGGGATTAGCAGTCGCAGGGAAAGCACAAAAAGGTAGCTCTAAACGTGACGTGGACGATTTACAGGAACTCATAAACAAACTTAAACTCTTTGAACAAGAACTGCAACGGAAACGGACGCAGGAACACGAGGAAATCCAAACGTAAGGACTTTAATTTATATATGAAAATTCAAATAAATGTTAAACATAGCACAACGAACTACATACAATGTAATCAACTAATTGAGTAAAACTGTATATTAAACGATCCTATATGAGACACAGAAGTAAACAGTACTTTGTTGATACAGAGTTATTGTTAGTCCTCCTATTTGTTTATTTGGTATCCTGATATACTGTAAGTTTTTTTCGTTTTTTTTTTTTAATATCTATGTTAACGTTTGCATTAACATATCGATTGCCGTCGATATATGAATAAACAAAATACCCCTTTCGAACATTAAGATGTTTGTTTGCTTGTAAGAGTTTCCGTTATGAGTATATTTTCCTCAGTTGATGGTTGCTGTCAAGTTGAATTAACTTCTTTACTGATGCGTCAGCACTCTTGTTTTAATCAGTCAGCTCGTAGAATCCTAAACATAACGAGGTTTTTCAGTCGTCATAGTGACTTCTCTGAGAAATATACCATTTTCTTCGATGTGAAACTGGACGTGTTTGATGCCCATTAGTTTGTGTTTTGTATATACACATAGTTTTCAAGACACGAAGATTTAAGGCATTAAGTAGATATTCAAAACTTCAGTAATTAATTCACCTTATATGGTTTGAATCATCAAGGTTGCAGTCAGAGCTCCAAAAATTGAAATCACAGCTGAAAGAACAAAACGGACAGCTTCAACGGTATGCATTATTTCATTTTAGTGTTATAGTTCCCTTCGTTAAATATCCAAAGAAAATAAATGTTAACTAAATATCCGAAAGAATAGAAGAATAGAAGCTAACTGGAGTAAATATAAAACCATTGAATTATTTTACTACTTTTGTATTAAATGTAATTGAAATATATTGTGTACACTGCTGTTTTAGAATTCGGGGAACTCACATGATAGCGAACAAGGCAAAGGGGAAACACGTAGAACTACTAGAGGAAAGGTAAATATAGATCTTCATCCATCGGGTTCTGTCACAATTGAGACAGCAAGTAAATCAAGTAGGATTTAGGGGTTTTCAACGCTCTTCATACATACTGATACAAATTACAACCAAATTCAGTTATATGAACGGTTATGAAGGTCAACACAATATGTAGTCTAATTGTATGTATATATGTGTGTGTGTTGATTTTAATGTCACATCGTTTATAATGTGGGTATATATATTCAGGCATATGACTGAAAAGAAAGATATAGAGGAGAAACTTCAAGCACTAGAGAAAAACATCAAAAGAAACCTCGAAGTGTAAGTATGCATAAAATTGTTCTTATGTTATCATTGATAAATTGTCATTTGTAAACGACTGAAATACTTAATTAAAGAGCTTATATATATATTCATATTGATCTGTAGAGTTGGTACATTATCTCTGATCTTTGTTCGTATGTAGAGACGAAATAGGCAACAAGTCATTTAACCTGTACGTAATACCTGATATATAGTATATACAATGGTATAACGCCATGATCACAAACTGTATTGCAAGTACGCACCTGTCGTTAACATTACAGGACACGAGAAAATGATCAAATCGAGGAAACCAAGCAGGAGCTATATAGACTGAAAGTAGAAATCGAAAAGCTTCATAGGCTAGCTGATCCGTCATATCATGATGGGTTTACTCCAAGGAAAGGCCGGACAGGATTGAAATTATCTGAAGAGGACACAAGCTACGAAATTGCCGAAATGTTACACAAAATGGCTGTCATTCGCAACGAAATGCAAGGATTGAAGGATTCTAAAGCTGCTCTACAAAGGTACTTCAGATCTTATACTTGAATCATTATCATTTGCGATTATTTGTAACAAATGCTGATTTTGGAGCAAACCGTAATGAACAAGTGTTATCAATACATACATCTATACATGTGCATCGCTATCAAAGGATTTCGTCCTAATTTAGTGTAACGTTTTGTTGATTGTGTTTTTTTTGTTTTTTGTTTTTTGTTTGTTTTTTTTTTTTTTTTTTTTTGTTGTTTGTTTTTTTTTTTTTTAATTTAATCATCGAAGGTATTCTGTTGAATTATTTTTGTGTGTGTAGGCACGTTCAGGAAGTAGATGGTTGGGAATCGAAGTTCGGAGAAATTGAGAGAGAGCTGGAGACATTTTACAATGATGCCGTATCCGATTTGTCAGCTATGGAAAGGGAATCAGATCTCACAGGCGGAAATGAAAATCTACGTAGGAAGTTAACACAAGATTCCAGCTCCAACTCACAAGCGTCCAAACTTAAACTCAAGAAGTTACATACACTGTATCTCAACAGGCGCAAAAAGCTGGAAGGTGCCGAGAGGTAAGTATTGTCTCGAAGCGTTTTGAGCTTCTGTGTCTTTATTACATTCTACATTAAACACAAATCAATGATACATGTAGTGTGCTTTGATTTATAAAAAGGTCCGCACGTTTATTAGAAATGGAGGTTAGAATAAGTTATATGAAAGTAAATATTAGTAACAATGACAACATTCGAAGCACTTTACATAATCAATATGGTGATATCTTTACCACTGCATGATTTATCTACTGCATAATCTTACCAAAGGTATTTGTGTATTACTAGTTCATATCCAGCCAATGGTGTATGGATATTGCAAGCAATTTAAACAAATTGAGTTTTCCTTCCTGAATAGTGAAAAATTACTTGTAAATGATGACTATAAGTACTGTACTGATTTAGGATGACACTGAGGAAAATTGTGAACGTCAACAGGATAAACGCAACATTATATAACTATGAGTGAGAGCAGTTTCATTCTGAAATTTAAGAATGGAGATGTTTTTATATATACCGAACATACCATTCGTCGTGAAAATATGAACCATTTATAATTTATCTAAAATCGTTGTGGGGTGATATTTTTTTCTGTTCGTAAATGATGTATTTCTAAAAACTCTCTGAATAAAAATTCAATTTCTAAAGGGAACGCGTGTTAAGTTCATATGTTTGATATCCTCAGGTGTTGAATTGTGCGTTCTGTAACGTTTATGTATGTTTTTCATACATCTAGCAAGATTTCATAAATCCCATCATATTAAACAAAAATACAACTTCAGTGTTTCAAGTCACTGCATAATAATATCTTAACGAAAGGACTTAAATGTGGTAAACAGGCTAGCTACAATTTGCATTTACTGAATACAACATACAGTTAATTAATGTATAAATATTTAAATGTGTATTTCTTCCACGAGTAGATTCAACCTTAAAATTTTCCTAGTAAAAATAAAATACCTAAGCTAAATTTCGTTTATCCTAAACCAAAGAGTTTAATTTCTGAAAACAAACTAAACTAAAAGATGAATATCATATTTTATGTGCATCATAGATCACTGCGGCAGTCACATCAGGAACTGGACCTGAACAAAGCTAGACTTGTTAAGCTGATCGATTCTGTCGACAGAGTATATAGTGATAGTAACCTCTCCGACGACACAAACACAATCCCGTCGTCACAACGGGATCGCAGAAGTGGAGTCGAGTTATCATCACTGTCAGAGAAATCGGAACTGGATGATGAGTCAAAATTGTATGATTTAGCTATGGTGCGAGTAAATGAGCTCGCTGTACGGACAAAAAAGTATGATAGGTATGGATTTATTTGGATTGAAAATAAAAATATTTAGTGTTTATATTGACATACTATTTCCTATATTTTTAGTAAATATCGATTGAAAAAGTTATATAAGATAACTTATTTGATGTTTATGGTTTCAATTTTTATAAATACCTAAATATTTCTTTGAGTTATTCCCCTTCGCTTGCTGTTTAGATTAACAATGCTTTGATGTGCTTGTTGTGAACAAAGTAAAACTAAGATTAGTTTTCATACAGCTTGATGGAACAAAATGGCAAAGGAATGAAGGATCATGCAAACGATATGAAGGTCATACAAAGGCAAATTGACCACCTACATGATGCAGTAGTATCCACTGAGACGATGAAATTGCCCGACTTTACTACAACAGAGTTAGCTGACGTCAACTCGGTTTCCGAGTCTAACCAGGATGTCATTCGTAAGGTCATCCGAGTTGACAAAGGACTGCGATTGTCGTTAAATGAACATAATAAACTGAGAGAGTAAGTTTTCTTGATGAAGGTGTTTAATTGAGTCTCACAGTCGTATAAAATTGAAATGATATAAGATAACACAACACCAAAAAGTTTCATACGTATTATATTTTACAAAAATGTCAATTAGGAAGTCATTTACTCGTCGTAAGAATATATTCTGGAATGTGTATCCTTTATATTGGTTTTTCTATGTCTTTGTTAAAACAACTTCTGCTGAAATGCTATATACTTTATATTAGGCAGCTCAGAGAGTTTCAGAATAATGACAAAGTACTTGCTGATGTTGTACTGGAAACTGAGGAGTTATGTCGTCATCTCCAAGTCGCCATAAAGGACAGTGGCAATGCAGGCGTAAAAGTGAAATGCAACCTTACCGAATGTCGCGTTGCACTGAGAAAATTGAAAGATCAGGAATCGGAAAGATTAAGGTATTTGTTTGTATATATGTTTCGTAATTGTTGCACTTTTAATTGCTTCCCACCACTTATCTATCAGCAGCACAATCTACTTGATATCTCGTTAATACATCATCCCTGAGGGTTCAGCATTGTATGTAGATAACATTAACAATGTGATGACATTGAATATTTCACTAGGATCACTGTATTAGTAGTGAATAATCTAGATGATAACGGTGTGACTTTTGTTAGTATACTGATATATTACGCACTGCCTTCATGCAGTTATATTTCAAACTTAACTAGACTAGGTCTTGTTATATTGTCATAGACGCTTTCTGTTATATATGTCGGCAAATCATTATAGTAACCGTCTTTTTTTTTCTTTTGGGTATATTTTAAGACGTTTGCCCTAATTTGGCGATACTTGTGCTGTTAGATTAAATGTCTTTATAGTGTGTGTGCTCTTTATATTTAACTACATCTGCACAATTGTTGTGTTTGTGAATGCACTTTAAAAATGTTAAACATTGTTTATAAATGGTACTAACACTTAACTAAATATATTGATACTAATCATCGTGTGCACTATTTACTTACCCGTTAACCAGGGGTGTAGAGGAATTACACAAAGACTCCAATAAACTTATGGCGGAGGTACACAAATTGTATCTGTTCACGGACTATGGCATTGAATCTTTGGAATCCGATGAAGAAAAGACAATGGATTCACCAGATAAATCAAAAGTCGGTAAATTCCACGATGCCACAAAGCAACTAATCACCGTTCATGAGCGATTCAACGTTATACGTAGTATGAAGGCAGCATTACAAATGTGAGTGAAGAAAGAAACAATGAAAAAATTACAAATACAAACTGGGTCAGTTTATATTTAATTTTCGACAGTTCGATGCTTCGCTCTAAATATTGTCATTTAATGGTACATTTGTACAAACACCGGCACATTTTCCAGTTTTTGCTTAATGTTCAGCGATTCAATATGGATGCTTTGCTTGTAATTCTGAATTTTAATGTACTTGTTGTATCCTGTTTAATAAAGTTATAGTCCAAATCACTTTCGGACCTTCCTTTTACACTGATGTAGACGTGGTTTTCACGTGTGTGCTATCAGCATCTAATCCTAATTAATATTACTATTCATCTAACAAATACTCAGTACCATTTCCTGTAAAAAGTTGACAAATGTATACATTGAATTATATAGTTAGATTACTACTTATACAAACATACTAATGAAATTTTATCTTACGTTTTGTCTATCGGGTTCGGTGTGAAGTGCATTTAATCCAATTCCACATACTAAATCCATTTTATTTTAAACTATGCTTCCACTAACTATTAGATAAATAACGCTGTCAAAGGAATGGAGTATATTGTATTCAATATGAAAATATATAATACATACCTGGTATGTAATAATTATGCTACAGTGCTCTCAATGACCTAGAGAAACATGCCTCTTCGTCTCAGTCCGATGCAAAAGACCAGATGATGAAGTTGAATATGCAGATCACAGTCCGAGAGCAGGAACTCAAAGACCAGCAATCGGAGGTCAAAAGGTACAACTATACCGATCAAATCTTTCAATGATATAGTTATCAATGTCATCGCAATCACAAACGTTATATAGTGCTAGAATCATGACAGTGAATGTGCAGTTCTTTCATATTGAAATTCTTTAACCTACCTACTTAAATGTAGTTATCAAAACGACAGCCACGAAATGGCGAAGTGTTCATGTTGATGCAAGTGGGGATGAACTTTTATGAGCTAGACCTATATATATAGATTTGAGTAACTCATGAAAATGAGAAAATAAAACCTTATCTTTTACCCAGAAAAATGAACTGCACCAAGAAAATTTATAGCTTCATTTGAATGCATCCGTTATCTTATATCCTCAATTGAATCTATGCAGTTTCAAGATTATCCGTATGCAAAAAAGCATTTCGTAGTTAATGTAGGTAATCACTTGGTGACTGTCAAAGTTAGATTGTCAAATAAAGCTCATGTATCAGAGAGCACTTGGAGGGCAATTCGAATGTACATACAGTCGAATGATTACAATATATCGGATTCATTTGGGATTGATCAAGAATTACATTGTGGATGTTGTCGATAGACACCGTGGATGAAACCGTTCTCATGCTCAAGCATGAGTTTTGTGCTTTAGCCTTATGTTTTGTTTAAGTTAAAAATTAAAAGAATAAGACTGATTTTGCCAAAAAAATTTTTTTTTTTAAATTGGAAAGGACTTCAGCTGAAAGTTATATATTCAAGGTTTAAATTTGACATTTGTATTATTTCATATGATTTAGGTGAATTACAAAAAAGTTTGCTTGAGCACAAAATCTATGCTTGAGCATGAGAATGGTTTCAGAAATACGGGCCATGGTCTTATTTTACTACGTTGTCGGGAGTCTTCGTGTTTTTTCCTAGTTTTATTGAATTTGAACTTGGATTTTGATTATGTTGACATGTTATTTTTTCATGCTTATATGCTGATATTTTTGTATTCTTAACCTGTCATCAATAATCTGACTCCATGATGCCACTAGGTTACGTGAAGAAGCAGAACATGATAAAACAGAAATTTCTCGTCTACAATTAGAAGTGAATGACCGATTTAAGTCTACACTTTCTGCGTCTGACGAGGAAAAGGTATATCTGAGAAACAAGATCGATGATGTCCAGAGAAGGTTGGATATTGCTGAGAAAAACCTGAACGAGGCAATGAAGGAAAAGTACAACCTTTTGACGAGGTGTGGATTATTTATAATTTACTTATTCTTTCAAAGACATCGCATTGAAAACTATTTTTAATTATATCAATATTATATCGATATTAAGAAAAAATATAATTTTACAGTAATAACTATCATTGATATTCAATAACATTAAAAGGACTTGACATACAGTTCATGGGTCATTCATAATGGCGCGATGTAAACGGTAAACGTTAACCTTTCATTTGTAAAAAATGCGAGAAAAATCATTTATTGATCTTCCGTAAACAGGTGTATCCTAAACCTCGTGTCAGTTTGGCTGGGATTCTAACCAATCAAACTCATTCACTCGATATCCATGTCCATGACCCATATTTCGTATTCTTTTAATCTTAATCACAGGTTGAGCGTTATGGCTGGTGCAAGACTAACCGACGATAATCCATCTATCATTGACCTTAGTGACCCCTTTAGGCCATCTAAACTGGCAGAGATGTTTTCTAGACTGTATGATGATGAATGGACAAACGCCTACGAGACCTTAATGAACCAGTTCTCTCTAGAAGAGACGGAAGCGATACAACAACTGCTCTCTGTTGTCATGGTAATTGAATCACGTATATTTAGTTAATTTTTGCTCATAGCTTGATGTCTCCAGCAAATTTTTGATGTTAGCGTCAGGAGATAAAAAAGATATTATGCAATATCATAATTTCACATTTTTTACAGAAATGTGAGCGGCTCAATATTTTTTCTCAATTCATTGCTGAAGACATTTAGAGGAATACCAATATATCATGAACAGTCGTCTGAAAGTCGATATTAATCCTAAGCTTTGTTGATATCAAATAAACTATCTGATTAACTACGCAAAGTTTGATGTAATTTCTACAAAGTAAACAATATTTGAGGTTCCTTTCTCACAGGGAAGTTTCTCGTTCTGTGATGTAACTGCACGGACGCAGATGACAGACATTCATAAGGTTTTATTCATGTTGCATCAATCGGAGACATCTAATGCCGTAAGTTTACAAGTAGTTTATACTTCTTTTACAATATCTAATCAGTCAATCTTGTTTTACCGTTAAACGATACCTGAAAAGGCGAAAATTTCATTATTCGTAAGTCATACACAACTTTGACTGGAAATGTGTAAATTTCTTTGAAAGCTCGAACTAATTATGAAAGGGAATCTACATATTCTGTCGTTATTTAGCGAGACTTCTGCAATATGTTTATTGTTCTGAATAAATATGTTCAGAAGGTTGAGGAAAAGACGCAGCAACTGTCAACAGTGGATAGCAAACAAATCAGAGAGCTCCGAAAGTGGTGTGCTCCACAGGCAACTGACACAGTAGCCCAGGTAGAGTGTAGAGTTTATTTTATAGTTTAAATGTTTCATCATTTTAAACGGTCAGCCCAAATGACACAGAAGCTAATATCACTTCGCGATAAAAATATTGAAATAGATACAATATAGGCCAAATACTGAAGGAAACTGCATCGTCCCTCTATGGCTTACAAATGGTGTCTTGGGTCTAAAAACTGAAATTACAACCACCATCGTGCTGAATTTTTAATTCAAAGAGAGTTACAGGATAATATCCATCTATTTTAATATACGACAAGACTTTAATTTGCATTTTATTCTTTAGTTTTGCTTCGTTGTTTATGATAATTTTCTGAAAGAAAAATATTACCGAATGCTATATTTGAAATATTGCAGCTTTTCATTAATGGTACCCGTGATACAAAATGGACCAAACAGCAAGTCGATGCGTGTGAGCCATACATCAACAAATGTGTAACTCTGTGTTGGTTAATGAACGTCCAAAACCCTCCTGTTTATATGGCCAAAGACGTTGAATCAGGTGACCCGTTTGATGGAACCAGACATAAGCATTACACGCGGATGGGCACAGTGGTGGACTTTGTGGTTTGGCCGACACTCCACCTCACAAAACAAGGCGCGGTACTGTGTAAAGGCGTTGTACAAACTAGGCGCCAACTGGAATAGATTTAACAGAAGAACCCTGTTCAGCACGCTTCAATGAGATTACACATTATGTTTTACTAAGTGTATTGTGCCATGTTTAAGTGAAACTATTATCTATGCACCTGTATGTCGATTCGTATTCATAGACCAAATTGATACTCAGAGAACTTATTCAGAATCTCTTTGTGTAAATGTCAGCTACGCAATGACCATGTGTTTGTAAAAGATGTTAGTTATGAATGACAACGTACATACAAATGTAGCCTGTTCCGCTGACATTAGTAGCATGACCCCTAAAACATCAACTGCATTTCCAAAATAGATTATTATCAAGTTACTTGCTATATCCATCATACCATGCCAAACATCTATCAATATTATTTCAAAGTCGAATATAACCTTTTATTGTAATTATTTTCCACTGTATTCATCTATTGTTCGAAATTGGTGCATGTGACATTGTATGTTATTTAATATCTAACTAAATCAGACAATATTTCATTAGATTATGTGGGTTGTATCAGATTTTCAATATTCTGTTGCCGATTTCGATTGGCTGACGAATTTCATGCCTTCACGATCTGTGCTTAGATGTTGACATATAACTTGCGGAAAGTTTCTAGTAACCAACCATACTTACTACCGACCATCGAAATTCATGATTCATTTTAGACTATTATTGTCCGATGAAATCACAATAACTGTCATAAAACTTTAAGTTATTCAACATTGTATTGCATTTCTCTGAACCAAGTTTTATTAATCTTATCGTCTTGTTGACGTTGATATTGAATTCACACCCACCCGAGTTCAATTATTCGATTACGGCATGCAACCACGACAATTTAGAATATCAAGGATGCATTATTTGTAGATTGAGAAGTCACTATAAAAATATTCAGATCATCGCACTTGTCAAACGGATAAGTCCCTTTCCCTGTTGGTTACAAGAAAACATTGGGGTAGGCGGCCGATGTATCAAGGGACCATTGTATCACACATGCACAATATTTGTTCTTTTAATATCTGATCCTAACAAATGATATTTGTGTTTAAAGAGGATCGTACTGTCGTTACAACAAAACATCGAAAAGACACGTCTATGTACATTTTCATACAGACAGGATATCGCCCACGTCATTAATTTTAAATCAAACATAAATCGTTATCCGTCCAGCCATGTTAATATGTCTTTCATTCTATTAAAGATTTATTGTTCACATACTGGATTTTGTGTCTTTTTTATTTATATTCGAAAACTGAATCATGATAATGTTAAAATGTTTCATTGATAATGCTACTTTCATAGCATCCATAAATAGTTGTAGCAAACGTACTCAATTACCTGTTCGTAGCATTAGGTAAAGTTCTCATATTATAAGTGTCCCATTCTAGCATTGGAGTACATCATGACAGTTTCTAGTGATTAAAACAGAAACACAAATGATAGAATATATCATTTCTTATCTAAATACATTCAGGCTATGAGGTCGTAATTACTTACTATTTCAATTTCTACTCAAGTGTTTAAATTGCTAAATAATGCTTTCTTGTAATTATTAATTCTATGATGTTCGTAAAACTTCCCCATTACTTTTGTATCAACATGTCAGTATTTGAAACCTTGTCATTTTACAATTTCTTGCACCAAGACCGTAATAATTGGAACATGCTTTTGAGTATCGGATAATCTGTGACATGTGAGTTTCCTAGGTTGAGGACGTAGCAATGTTGCTATCCAGAAATAAAAAATTCATAAATAGGGAAATTGAAATAATCAGGCAACAGTTTATTGGAAAGCTTTCCATGTTGGTTTCCATGTATGAAAATATCCCGATAAAGCAGCTTATGTAAGAATTGATAAATTCTGAATGATTTTTACACATTTCATTGAATTTGTCTCATGATCACAAGTCAATCCGTCAACTCATTAAAATGACAGAAACATGTTTGAATCTTCACATGAGAATTAAAGAATTCAGATACACGACAATTTAAACAAATTCCAGATACGTGTTCAAGTACAATATTTTTGAAAATGTATTGATTAAAGGGACGAAATTATTAGATTTCGTTATTTCTATCAACGTGTTTGATTTCGGGCAAACATTGTAATACTTAGAATTAGAGAAATTGATTATCAGCTTCAAATTAAAGATAGTCGATGTTCGTTGTTGTGTCGATAACATATCGCTGTTTTGAACGGAGACAGCTGAATTCATCACGTGGCCTTTCGGAACCTCATTTTCATTGGCAGCAATGTTTCAATTCTTACTTTGTAAAATGACCCTTTGTTTCACGCAATACGCGTGACAGAGCGAAATAAATGAATTAAAATTAATCTTAAATCTAAAATTGCATGCGCAATGACATTATTTACACTCTCCGAATGATAATAATATGAATTAGTGTTTGGTCGCTCCTATTTTATTTCAATTTTTGTCGTTGTTGATAAAATCCTTATGCAATCTTTGAAATATTATCATTAACCAAAAGTACACAATTTTTGATAGGTATTTAATTGTTATAATGATTTTTTATCAGTTTTGAGATGAATGTCTAACCATTGGGTCTTTTTAAGAGAAACATTTTACTTCATGATGATTTTTTTTTCAAAGTGCACACTATTTCAGTCTAATTTGTAGAAGCTTACAGTCACATCGTAAATATATGAATGTATTCCAAAAGAGTAAAGCAATTCTCGCTATTATTTTCAAAATATTACTTAAAAATTCATATGAAACTGAAACCACTAAGTACTGAAAAAAGTTTCCGGTCACATACAGATTAAACATAATTTGAAACTGATTCTGACTCGTAGTATGTTAGTATATGTAACAATGTGTCCTTCCTCTTGTCAAGGGTAATTGAGCATCATATTATAGTTGTGATATACAAATAGCATGGCAGCTTAACATTTTCATTACTGAGCTCACACTACTGGATTGCACATAGCCATCCAAACTTAATATCTACCATTGCCACAATCAGTTTTAGTAAACCAACTGTAAGCCTGAATTCTGCCATCAAATTTTACAGTTCTCGATACCTGTAGTTACATTTTAATTACATTATGTAGTTCGATATCTTCCTTATTCCTTAACTCTGTTTTTTCAACATATCCTATTATGTGTATTTTCAGAAAATATAATGTTTTCCGAGGTTTAGAAAACGTCTTAAAACAGTCTATAATTTTGATGTCAATGTCAGGATATTACAAAATCCCGTTGATAAATCCGATGAACAATTTAAATGATCAGATACGGATATAACATTTATTATAATGCCAAAAACTCATTCATATTGAAAGTCCTATTTTGTTCTGTCAGTAGTTTCTTTCTTATCCCATTTAATCTGATAATGAAAGATCCTGTTTTCCCTCAGTAAACTTTGTTCGTACTCGGCACACAGCTCTCGCCAGCCCAATTTACGAGCTGTCAGAAAATGACAACAGTGGAGACGTATTGGTCGAAATGTTAAGATTACAACTCTTCTTCTCTCTAGCCTGATTCCTACCGGTACATATATCCTAGAAAAATAAAGGTTAGGTCAGCGAACGAATGGGTGTCTTCAACTCTATTTTCTCTATTAATTGTATTTTTGATAGGTATTCCATTCGCGGTGTATGTCGATGACCCTTCACAATTGGCAGCATTCTGAGGGAGCTTAGCATGGCTCCAGATATGTCAGATTGAGGTTTATGTTGCGACGTCCTAACACAGTGTTGGTATTACGGTTATTGCCTAAAGTTATAGTCGACAGTCCTGTGGCATATATAAAGCTGCACCCAATTCGTTTTTTCTACACATACAAAACAGAAGTTAAATTCAGCCATTAATCACAAATGTAAGTCATACTTGTTTTTTCATAGATATGATTACCGTTTGAATGGAATAACTTTGTCAAGGCTATAGAATACAATAGTTCTTATTTATGTCGTAGTTTTGAATGGACAGTCTAAGAAGAAACTACATTTTGCGATCATATTTCCGTCTCGGTGAACCCAACTATTTATACTGTGATACCTTTTTCATATGGCATATATTTCTTTTACTTTATAAAAAATTTTCAAGTGCTTCGTACCAAAGGTAATAACAGTAAACGCCCGTTAGAGTTTTTAATTTTTACAATTACAGTTTACAATTGATTTTCGTTATTTTCTATGACACTGTTTATCAATGGAAACAAAAAAAAAATACCAAAATTTCAACTGAATCTTAACGCAAACTCAAATTCGATGAAACTAGGTCAAACCAACTGTTAACAGAATCAACGTCTAAATTCTAACTCCTTGATAAAACTAGGACAAAATATAAAAAGAAAGAATTATATATGGCCTACTGAAGAAGTACAAGGAGAATAAGGAGAGGTGTTCCTGAAGAGTAACCGTCTTCTGCTTCATCGACGACATCCCAATGTAAATCGTAGTCAATCCGAGTAAGTAATATCACATTACCAAATGAGAACAAGGCACACAACCGACAACGCAGCCAACAGGCAAACTAACAAACACGTCCGACTTCATACTGCATAAGGAAATAGGGCATTTCCCAATGAGGTCATGATGACGACTGTCAAACCCCATAATCTCGTCCATCCTTCGTCTCTATGTCTAGAGCATGTCTGTCAGTTTCCTGGTTTGTTGAATAAACATCCGTGTTATATCAATGTGGATACATATTTCACCATAATAGGTGGGTGTTAGTTGTAAAAACATCCGTGTTATACCAATGTTGATACATATTCCACCACAATAGGTGGGTGTTAGTTGTAAAAACATCCGTGTTATACCAATGTTGATACATATTCCACCACAATAGGTGGGTGTTTGTTGCATAAACATCCGTGTTATACCAATGTTTGATACATATTCCAACACAATAGGTGGGTGTTTGGTTATAAATACTCGTGTTATACCAATGTTGATACATATTCCAACACAATAGGTGGGTGTTTGGTTATAAATACTCGTGTTATACCAATGTTTGATACATATTCCAACACAATAGGTGGGTGTTTGGTTATAAATACTCGTGTTATACCAATGTTTGATACATATTCCAACACAATAGGTGGGTGTTTGGTTATAAATACTCGTGTTATACCAATGTTGATACATATTCCAACACAATAGGTGGGTGTTTGTTGTAAAAACATCCGTGTTATACCAATGTTGATACATATTCCACCATAATAGGTGGGTGTTTGGTTATAAATACTCGTGTTATACCAATGTTGATACATATTCCACCACAATAGGTGGGTGTTTGTTGTAAAAACATCCGTGTTATACCAATGTTGATACATATTCCACCACAATAGGTGGGTGTTTGGTTATAAACATCCGTGTTATACCAATGTTGATACATATTCCACCACAATAGGTGGGTGTTAGTTGTAAAAACATCCATGTTATACCAATGTTGATACATATTCCACCACAATAGGTGGGTGTTTGGTTATAAACATCCGTGTTATACCAATGGGGATGCATATTCCACCACAATATGTGGGTGTTTGGTTATAAACATCCGTGTTATACCAATGGGGACACATATTCCACCACAATAGGTGGGTGTTTGGTTATAAACATCCGTGTTATACCAATGTTGATACATATTCCACCACAATAGGTGGGTGTTTGGTTATAAACATCCGTGTTATACCAATGTTGATACATATTCCACCACAATAGGTGGGTGTTTGGTTATAAACATCCGTGTTATACCAATGTTGATACATATTCCACCACAATAGGTGGGTGTTTGGTTATAAACATCCGTGTTATACCAATGGGGATACATATTCCACCACAATAGGTGGGTGTTTGGTTATAAACATCCGTGTTATACCAATGGGGACACATATTCCACCACAATAGGTGGGTGTTTGGTTATAAACATCCGTGTTATACCAATGGGGATACATATTCCACCACAATAGGTGGGTGTTTGGTTATAAACATCCGTGTTATACCAATGTGCAGAAACGGGCCATACAAATTAATGGTATATTTCATATTTCTTTCATAAGCGTTGGTAATTTCCAAATGTTACAAAGCACTCGCTAAAACTTACGTTTCTTTGTAAAAATAACAAACTGGAGTGAAAAATATATTATGTACCACAGCAAATCGTTTGATAACCTCCATTTATCACTGATGACTTACGTGAGAACTAATTGACAACGAAATCAAATGTAAAAGAAAAGGTACTTCTATGGTAACAACGACAACCCTACGAAACAACTAAACAATCTAATAAGACAAACTGTGTCGGTATTTATATAGTCACTTTTAGAAGTGGCACATTCCAAATACACGAAGTAAATATGTTAACTAGAATAAAAGAAAACAACAACTGATTGAGCCAACATGTCATGGTTTCCATGATTCATATATATTTGCAAATATACTTTTTGATTTCCACATTTCAATAACTGACATAAGGTATTTTATTTTGAAGATTCAGCTGATAAACCTCGAATGTCATTGGGTTACAGTTACGGCGCAATGGAAGCTCGTGCGACCAATTTATGTATTGTTTATCATAACATTTGAGGAAGAAAAACTGTAATGGAATGTATATACCCAGTCACAAAATTGCATTTATTTAGTCCTGAAAAACGCGGATACATCGTGTGAAGTGTGATTATATCTTTAATGGCTAACTAATGCACACGTTCGTCATACATCTGACACTTCATATTCTAAATCGCTAAGAGCCTTGAGCTCGTGCTGTATTTTCACAAGGTCACTTTGCAGTTTGATGATACGTCGGCGTCTCTCCCTTGCGATCAAATGTTCAATATTCTGAAGTTTGGACACCGTTTTACCCTCTCTATCTTTATCTACGTCTGTTACCCGACAAAGGGGGAGATAACTCATGTCACCAGTGGACTTACACGGTCTCATGCAATCTCCTCGATGTATGTCTTTTGATATACATACTTTGGTGTTGCCTTTCTTAGTTTCACAAAAGGCTGTACTTTCAACGGAACTTTCATCGTCAGAGCAGGGCGTTATTTTCACTTGTAGATCAAAAACGTTCGATTTCCGACGACATTTTTTGCTTCCGTGCCTTGAATCGTCCATTCGATTTGGTTTTCTGTTACTTTGGCACTCTCGAGAACGTTCACAAATTGTTGAATCTGTGTTCCATTTTCGACTTATCGAGGATAAGTCTGTATTACAAAACGCATCATCTGTAACAATATCGATATCATTAAAATAACGTCTCAGTGAAAACTCGCTTTTAGAGGCATGAGAGTCCCTTGACATTTCACTAGCTGAAAATCCCCCCTTGCGGGATGGTGCTCTAAAGCTTAAACTCCGTCGCAATTCGGAAAGTTTTTTGGCTGTAGCTGATGCTGCTTCTCGTATGCTCATCCTCCTGACAGGTTTTGTGTTTGGATGTAGGGAATTTTGTACCGGAAGTACAAAATCGTCACCGGATGTTTCAGAGGAAAGACCAAAGCAAACCTCGCCTCCATCAGAAATAGAGTTGCACCTGGAAACATAAACACACACTTCAGTATTATAATAGTATAATATGTGTATATTACTTGATAATGACTAATAACAAACGCCTATTGTTATGATGATGTTCTACGCCGTGAGACACGAATATAATCCAACTGTATTTAAAAACAAGAAAACTTTATATAAAGTCTATTGAAATAAAGAGTACCGACATAAAAATAGAATTTTCATTCAATCCTGAAAGTCGATGAAACAAGGGCAAATGGTATAGGAATATTTAATGCCGGATTAGAAATGCAATTGGGTTTAATCACTATTTAAAAGGGAAAATATATTTTATCAAAGGCATTATGCCCCTATTGACATTTCGGTGACGGTTTCGTAGCAATGATACATACTCTTACGATGATTTCTATTTTCCACTCAGTGTATATTCATTTAGATTGCAGTTTTGATTTTTTTTTTTTTTTTTTAAGTCTGTTTGGTATTTTCATCTATAGAACTACACCCGTTGGTGTTTTAGGTATTATGTCTATTAATAGTCTCTGCTAATGTAACTGTCTTATTTTTATGTAATTCTCATATTTTTAATGTACGTTAAACTTTTATTAACCTAATGTTAAAGTTACTTGAATCACTCAAGACATGAAGTTATATATGTGAAATGACGAATATTATTGTAAATTATTTCAACAAAAGTGTGACTACATACAGCGTCGTTTTGAACAACAAACGTTATCGATTCTTGCATAACCATTACTATATAACATATCATTAACGACAATGAATTTATTCTTGATTAACATAACCTAAACAACAAGAAATATTTAATCAACAGAAAATACAAAAAGACAATAACCGAAATCATTTCTCTCAGAATGCATTGCGATACCAAACATGACACCCCTGTAAACGGCTCACGCCATTTCAGGATTATATGGAAACGTATTTGTGTCAAATTAAAAAGTAGTTTATTATCTTTCTGTTATGTTGTGTGTACCATTATTATTAGAATAAATGCTTGTTTATCTGGAAAATGATTAAAATACTTTATATGACAAAACGCATCATTGATTACATCTCGACAGTAATGGTAACAGTCACAAACGTTACTTTTACTTTTCAACTACCGAGTTGTTCTCGAGGTACAGGTTCATATACTGTGACATCGGTGATAACTGATGGTTATTTGCCTATAATATTGGCTGATTTTCCCCGAAAGCATAAATGATATTGCCAGAGCTGATCGATGGCATGAAAAACAATATATATGTGTTTCCTTCGCTGGTTTCGTCAGTGATGCCGCCATATTTTTGCCCGGCGTCAAGCTTTGACCTTTACCGCCATGTCTAATATTTGTAGTCCGTGAGCCGTTTACAAAGGTATGTTATGACTGTTATCTAACGACATTCTGGAAGAGATCGGAATCAAACGTGGGAGGAGAGACATTGTACGTAAAAAACAAATAGAAAAACCAAGATAACTGAAGATATATTGGCAATAAAAAATACGATAATGTCTTGAACGAACAAAAATGACCAATGAGTCAAATTAAATGAAGTGAAGTATGGTAAGGTTTCACTTAAGTTGAGCTCGTTTGTTTGATTTTCATTACATGACATGTACCTTTCTTGTTCCTGTAATCTACGGCGCTTAATGGCAGGGGAGGGATCAACGCGGGATTCCGGAAGTAAGTGAAGAATATCGTCCGTCAGCTTAGGAAATGGCTGGAGTGGCAATTCTAACATACGCTCCAACCTACAGATTTCCTGGTCCAACTGTAAATAAAGCCAAATCAGTGACTATATCTCGATGAATAATTTTATTCCGTTAGAAAACATATTTTTTTCAGAGTTAAAGTGCGGAGAAAAATGAATTTGGAGTTTCGATTGCAAAACCAATTAAAAGATACCGACATGTCAACAGAATGACATCGATGGAAACAAGGGATAATGAGAACAAAGGACAAACTGATGTGGAGACTCCTAGCAAAATAAAGGGCAATATAAGGAGTTCCGGAAGAGTATGCGATGTCGGCTTCATCAAATAGTTCCCATATATATGATTATGACCGTAAGACTTCACTTTTTTCATTAACGGCTTCAGATCGCGTTTATCTTGAATCTTTAGAATAAAACTTATTTTATCAGAACAAACGATGTATATACGTCGCTGAAATGTGTTCACAGATATCTTTGTTCACTAAAGCATTGAAATGCCTTGCTAATAAATATATTGTCAATAAAGACATATTTGTCAGCTATTTCTATTACGTGATGGGGATGCAATATATCGTGAATGCCAGCAACTAATATTTACATTTCTTGCACGTTGTGCCGTCCTGTGCAACGACTTATTTCGCTTTAACTAAATTCATTACCTACAGCGGGATGTCTCAGTTGGAACCGCCGGCATAGATGATTTAAACGGAACTATTGCCGGCCCTGTCGATTCATTTACGGCATCATGACGCGATTGTTGTAATCAAAACAGTCATTTAAACGGCAATTCATATAGATAACGACATGGTAGAGGAAAACTGACTTAAATATTTAGAACATTTTAATCCCAATTTAAAACATGTGTGACGATGGGTAAATATTTACAAAGGAAATGAGTAAACGTTTTCTACTTCATCAGTTTCACCCGCCGTGGAATTCTTGGTCCATTTATTCGTGCTTATATTTTCTGAAGAGAACGTGTGATGGTCTTTAGATAATGAACGTATGACCACGAAAACCCAACAGGTATACTAACGAGACTCGAGCTTATCATACTTCGCATTGTACAAGGAAATATAACTGTATTATGACTATAATCATTAATAAGGGTACATAGTCACGATTCCCCGTTTCTTACGAATTACATAGTAATCCTTATCGTATAGATGTACACTATCGTTTAAACATTACACGTATAACCACTGCGTATAACTATAACGAACAGTACCATGCCTTACCACATACAATCACTATATATATCTATAACGAACAGAACCATCAATTACCACGTACAATCACTATGTATAACTATAACGAACAGTATCATGCCTTACCACGTACAATCACTATGTATATCTATAACGAACAGTACCATCAATTACCACGTACAATCACTATGTATAACTATAACGAACAGTATCATGCCTTACCACGTACAATCACTATGTATAACTATAACGAACAGTATCTTGCCTTACCACGTACAATCACTATGTATAACTATAACGAACAGTACCATGCCTTACCACGTACAATCACTATGTATAACTATAACGAACAGTACCATGCCTCACCACGTACAATCACTATGTATAACGAACAGTACCATGCCTTACTACGTACAATCACTATGTATAACGAACAGTATCATGCCTTACCACGTACAATCACTATGTATAACGAACAGTATCATGCCTTACCACGTACAATCACTATGTATAACGAACAGTATCATGCCTTACCACGTACAATCACTATGTATAACTATAACGAACAGTACCATGCCTCACCACGTACAATCACTATGTATAACGAACAGTATCATGCCTTACTACGTACAATCACTATGTATAACGAACAGTACCATGCCTTACCACGTACAATCACTATGTATAACGAACAGTATCATGCCTTACCACGTACAATCACTATGTATATCTATAACGAACAGTATCATGCCTTACCACGTACAATCACTATGTATAACGAACAGTATCATGCCTTACCACGTACAATCACTATGTATAACGAACAGTATCATGCCTTACCACGTACAATCACTATGTATAACGAACAGTATCATGCCTTACCACGTACAATCACTATGTATATCTATAACGAACAGTATCATGCCTTACCACGTACAATCACTATGTATAACGAACAGTATCATGCCTTACCACGTACAATCACTATGTATAACGAACAGTATCATGCCTTACCACGTACAATCACTATGTATAACGAACAGTATCATGCCTTACCACGTACAATCACTATGTATAACTATAACGAACAGTACCATGCCTTACCACGTACAATCACTATGTATAACTATAACGAACAGTATCATGCCTTACCACGTACAATCACTATGTATAACGAACAGTATCATGCCTTACCACGTACAATCACTATGTATAACTATAACGAACAGTACCATGCCTCACCACGTACAATCACTATGTATAACGAACAGTATCATGCCTTACTACGTACAATCACTATGTATAACGAACAGTACCATGCCTTACCACGTACAATCACTATGTATAACGAACAGTATCATGCCTTACCACGTACAATCACTATGTATATCTATAACGAACAGTATCATGCCTTACCACGTACAATCACTATGTATAACGAACAGTATCATGCCTTACCACGTACAATCACTATGTATAACTATAACGAACAGTATCATGCCTTACCACGTACAATCACTATGTATAACGAACAGTATCATGCCTTACCACGTACAATCACTATGTATAACTATAACGAACAGTATCATGCCTTACCACGTACAATCACTATGTATATCTATAACGAACAGTACCATGCCTTACCACGTACAATCACTATGTATAACGAACAGTATCATGCCTTACCACGTACAATCACTATGTATAACTATAACGAACAGTATCATGCCTTACCACGTACAATCACTATGTATAACGAACGGTATCATGCCTGACCACGTACAATCACTATGTATAACGAACAGTATCATGCCTTACCACGTACAATCACTATGTATAACGAACAGTATCATGCCTTACCACGTACAATCACTATGTATAACTATAACGAACAGTACCATGCCTTACCACGTGCATTCACTTAATACGACTACTTACGCAACCGTGACGACTTTATACGAACATCGACTACGTACACTCACTTATGTAACTAAAGCGTACATTATCATGCTCCGCCCCGTACATGTATGTCCTAAATATATCACTTATAATTATTTTATTATCATCATTACATTATCAACGGCCCGTCAACACATAAAAGGTGAACACACAGCGGTCCAAAAAGGAAATAACATCAAACAAACTAAAAGGTATGATATATAAGTATACCGTAAACTACCATACCTCACCATGTAAATCCACTATGTAAAAATATGATGTACACTGCCGTGATTCACAGCTAAATACAACTTGTACTACAATGTCTCGTTATCTTCATTTTCTTAATATCATCTCCAAATTACGATCACATATTATATACACATCTTTTTACGTACCTCAACTATCTCCCGTTTGTATACCCGATTCTGCACCTCAGCTCTGTAGTATAAATCTCGCTTTTCGTCTACCACGAAACGTCTGGTCTTGTCCTCCACAACAATTCCCGAAGACACCACTACTGGGTCGCCCTTACACGTCAATATGGCATATATCTATCAATTTATACAATATTACGCTTACAAAAATTTTAAGAAACAAGTCTTTGAATTATCAAACAAATTTCATCAAAATAACATAAGAAGTGAAAACAAATTGTAGATATTTTTGATACCTTAGCTACGAAAAGTTATATTTTTACAGAATTTAAGTAAAAATGAAGATGACTAAAATCAAACAGAGGCAGTTTTTTTTCCAAATTAATGACCTAAAACCAATATCCTTATTATGCCAGCAAATTCGATTTGTGACTGGTGTGATAAATGTACATATAACATATTTCATTGCATTACTTTATATCAAGGTAGACGGAAAACCACCAACACACTAACGCCACAAATAATGAAGATACATTAATATGAAGAGGAGTTATCTGTATATATAATGCTTTGTCTTACCTTTGGCACGAAGAGCAAGCACAATGTGACGGAAGTAGACAGGAGGACAAAGGCAGATTCCAAAACATACGCCATTGTTGGTTGATCGGACAGTATGTTCGACAACACCACAACGATACTGCTCATCAATACAACGTTGTAAACATTTAGACCGATATATTGGGAGTCATTCAGCACGGGAATCTTTACGTTCCTTGTCTCCCACGCCATATACACACCAAAGACGAGTAGAAGTCCTTTGAAGGCGTAGAAAGCACCGAGCCATTTCTGTATGTGGTTGGAATGACAGGTTGAAATTTGTGATATATACCACACATCTATATCGTTGTCTGAAGGCTACAATGTAATAGGTACAGTATCAGTATATATGACATCATGTTAAACACGTATTTCTGTCACCAATCAATGCTTATTTCATCTGTTTTAATTTTTGGAATATTCCAAGCAATTCTCTTCTGAGAGTTAGAACATCCGGATGTATGATGGATAAGTTACAAAGTATGTTCAAATATGTTAGAAATATGTTATTCTGATATGTTACTAATGAAAACCAAATTGACACTCCATTATAAAAGTTCGATTTATAGTGTCCCCGTACATCACGGATGATAAAAGAATTTTTTGAGTTGAAGTTCATTTGTGTGTCTTTAGTAAAATCTTCAAAGTTCAAGAAAGTTCGAACCGGTTTTCCAAAGACCAGGAATTATGCTGTACATGTACATATAATGGTATGGTAACACGTTTAGATATACATTTTGTTGAAAAGCTAGCCGAGCTAGTAATGACTCATTGTTTTGAGGCTTTTTATTAGTATTTCCAAACTACAAACTAGTCCCATGCTCATCTTAAAAGAACCAGAAAAGTTGTAAAATTGAATCCTAATCAAGTTCGTATTGCGTTTTCGAAATCGGATTTCCGTGGTAATCATTAAAGATTCCCTTGCTCTTCAGATGTATAGCATGCAATAACATTTATTTACTAAACTGTCACGTGCAAATTAGTATATAGCATCATATACAGAACACAGTATGTGTATATATAACGATTTACGTAGATGCATTGTTGAGTGGATTCTATGTGTTTCTTTTTCGATTTGTGTTGTCAACTTCTGTTGACAAGTTCATGGTCGTAATAGATGGAAGAAGAAATAAGAATATTTTGAAGTAAGAGTTAGTGAATCATAACTTTGATTGTCTTGCCTTCTCTTTATATTGGGACGTACGATTGGAGATCAGTTGCCTTTATCGTTAAGATAACTAGTTCTTACCCCAACAGTCAAGTTGGCGATCTGTCTATGCATAGGGTCGACAAAGATCCACACGATTAAAATGGAAGAGTCGATCACGAGTAGAGCACCGATAATAAACAGCAGTTGTTTGTCCTTCAGTAGCTGTACAATTCAAACAACTGTTATCATTACCACCATTGATACCGTAGAAAAAAACAATATACATTGTGTCTGTACAGCAAACAGTTTTTTTCTACAAAATCTCATATAGATTAGCACTACAATGTAAAATCAGAGACTTTTAAGTTACACTGGTTTTAGATAAAGACATATACAATGAATATTTCCATGGAACTTAAATGTCAAAACAATGAAAGGTAAGCCTACATTCTTTCAAAACTATTTAGAAATACAACGAAATGACAACTCTCTAAGCATTTCAAACACCATTGTTAATGATAAGTCAATATTTTGTGTATCATTCATTTCTTCTTTTAAATGTTTTATAACGGTTTTGATTGGGCAAACGTAAAAAAGCATAAAAATGTATAATAAAACTTCACTGACAAAATTCTAACATTGTTGTGTCATAGCGAAATTTTCTGATACAGTCCACGATAGTAATATCCATAATTATAAACATCAATGTAGTATCTTGATAAACTGACACACAAAAGAAACGCAACCGCTTCATATTTTCAACAATTTTACTATTTCATTCAAATATGTCATTTACGATTTTCAACTAATCGAGGATTAAGATTCATTTTACTGGGTAACACACTCAATTTAGCGTTAAGTTATCACCAATGCGACAAAACATGTCAAGGTTCGAGAGGGGTAAGTCGTTAAAGATTCCCCAGTCTCAATACTATTTGCATTCGTTGTGGCTGGAATTATGCCATGCATAGAGATTATCAAATGGTTTACTTCTTTCATAGGATGTTCTGCCGTTCTTCCGAAGAAAATCGATTGCTCGTCGCGCTACAATGCACCTGGCATTGTCTTGTTGAAAAAACAGGTTGTATTGGTGAAGAGAGGGCACAACGACAGGTTGCAATACAGAGTCTATGTACCGTTGAGCTGTCAACTTGCCTTCTACGACTACCAAAGGAGTTTTGCAGCCACTACAAATACCGCCCCACACAATAACACTGCCACCGCCAAATCTGTCGCATTCCACCATGCAGCTTTCACTATACCGTTCTCCACGACGGCGAACAACACGCCGACGTCCATCTGATCGGTACAGTATAAATATCATCAGAGAAGATTACACGGCGCTGTCTTTGCATGGGAAACACATTTGGACAGTTTCGTCGCAATCACTGTAGTCGACGTCGATTTAGTGGCATTCCAACAGCAACACGACAAGGTTTTATGCCAAATGAGCGTAAGTGCCTTAAAACAGTGTCACGACTGATTCTTGGATAAGGTGTGTCTAGTGTCACGTTTGCAGTTTTCTGTGCAATTCAGAAACGATTGCGCAAGTGCTGGAAACTCATGGATCGGTCCTGGCGCGGCGTTGTAACCTTCGGTCTGTCGGTCCGAGGATGGTCGGCAGTTGTGCCGGTCAATTCAAGGCGACTATAAAGTGGACTTACTGTGCTGTAGGAAACATTCAGTACTCTTGCTACAACATTTTGAGTGTTTCCGCCTAATAGTTACTGCCTAGGCATTGCTCATGTGAAGACAAATGATATTCAATATTGGATATTTCTTACCAGACAACTGGAGGTTGACATAGAGGTAGAACAGTCATAAAATGCTACCATGTGTATCCGTGCACGTGCAAATCGGGGTATCGGGGTATGTCTCGTGAACACGAGAACAGGTAGCGTGACGGAGTTCAATCAAACATGTATTTAAAAGAAAATGTTTATAGTGTGTTAAAATCAGATACAATAAATCCAAATACAAATTAAAATACTAGCTTTTACTTGAGGTTACGTTTGTTTTGCGTGTCAGTTTTTTATACCATCCGATGGCTGGTAGGAAACGTGTGAATTCCAATAAGTCGTGAAAGCATGAATAGGTATTTAAGGGGTTTGTTGGCACCGGATATCGATGTTTGATTTATCTTACCAATCACTTATAAATATTTTCCAGCGAATCACATGTTCTCACCTTGTTCTTTATTAGACCACGGTTTGCCCTTGTGAATATTTGATGAACCCGATAGGTTTTAGTGAACATGGAGCCGAATGCCAAGGAAAACCCAGCAGCGAAGAAAAACGCTCGTGTCTGAAATGTAAAGTTAAGTGCACATGTAAAGCGCGATTTTAAACTGATTTAGTTCGCTTTATAAATTAACTATTGTGGGATTGGAAATGTGCTTTATTACTAAGTCTTTCGTGATTTTATATCAACTTGATATCTAGAAATTGCCATAGACAATTTTGTCGGACTTTTCAATTCATCGGATATGTGAAAAATCAAACTCTTGCTGAAGACAAGAATTGTTCCGGTAGACTTGTATAAAAACAATTAAAGCAAGCTATCCGAGATAACACTTAGAAATGGATTCATATCGCAAATCTGAAGCTGGATTTCTGACCGATCCGAATAATAACAACTCTTGCTCAGGATTATCTCAAGATCAATGCAGACATGTTTCAGCTGAATGGAACTTTTTAATTTTTGCTCTTGCCAGAAACTGGAATATGGATATCGGACCGATCCGGAAAATAACAACAAAGTTGGTGAGGACTAACTTGGACTTGATCCCTGTTAAGGAGTTTGTCACATTATAAAAGAGTACCAGAAAAATGATAACTTACCGTACAAAACACAGGATATTGGTCTTGTTTGATACGTCTGTCGTCAAATCCCAGAAGCATGACACCACCATATACCAATATACATCCACCAACCGCTACATTGTTTAGTGTAGGGCTGGACAGCTTGATGTACCTATGGACAGATATAACAATATTAGTTGAATCATTGAGCTAGTGCACCTCCCTATCAAGATTATATTTCTTTCGCCTCGTAGATTTCAAAATATAGGCTCTTTCAATCAATGACGAGTTCTTAAAGAACAAAACAATTCAATGGTGATATTTGATCCATTGTTTTACTCTACTGTGTCTACCTGTGATTTTTACTTTAAAGGGTGTTATTTAGTTGTATGTACTTTGTACAAAGTTCATGGTGTTGACGAAATTTATAGCCGAATGAACTTAGTTCTTAGAATAAGAAAGGACTAGTTTTTCTTTTCATTTTTTTTTTAATTTCAGATAAAGTTAAACACGAAATGCTTACAAACTAATTTAGTGAAGGAGTGACCTTCAATAAATAAAACATTAGAATGCTCGCAGTAATTGTCCTCTCTATATCCTATTCTACATGATCTATTTTTAGAATATAAACAACATCATTTAACATTGGTCATAATTGCGTGATTATGTCTTTTTTAACATTTTCCTTCTTACTTGTTGTTCTATAACAATATTTTACTATACGTTACATTGTTCTTCACATGAAAACATGTCAATATTTTCTTCTTAATATAACTTTTTTTTATTTATTTTGTATTTTGTAATCTGAATATGACGTGTTAGTTTCTCTTGTTAGTGAAGCTAAACAAATATAACTAAACGGCGTTCAAAAGACTAAGCTCAGAGAAAAACAATTGTCATTTTAATTCGACTGGAAGGTTATATATCTAACTTTCATTTGACGTCATCGATAACGATTTTGTCTAATGATAGGATGTTAGCTGTTGATCTGATGAAGAAAATGGGAAGATATCTAGTTTATAAAATCAATCAGATAACAAGGACCTTACTTGTCACTCACACAGTGCGCGTTTGACGTTGCCGTCAATTACACGATACAGTCGTTTATGCTACAGATTGACTCATTATAACAAGTAGGACATGGTCTGCCTGTATGATTGATGTGTTTCCATCTTAATGAGTATTGTATTTGATTTCTATTAGAAAAGTGCCGATGGATTTTCATTGCAGTTTGTTTTTCATAAGGAAATCACCAGGAATTATCTAATTCATGAAAAAGTTATAATTACAGATAATATATTCATGTTTTAAGAACATTTTTTTTTTAAATTAAGCTAAGTTTTTTTCTCTTAACCGCATTAATGTACATATAAACATCACGTCTGTGTGGGGGGTTGGGGGGTTGGGGGTGATGGCTACATAGAAGCAAAGCCTTCTTAATGAAGTAAATTTATCACACATGTATGGGAACACGATTGAATATATTCACTTCTGTTTTGCCTTTATTAAGACAATATATGTCGTCACCTAGTCTGAAATATCTACGGTACTGCAAAGCTAAGAAGCTTGCTTTATTGAGAAAGGGGTGGATATGTTGATTGCTTTGCTATTAATTAATTCAAAAGTGAAAGTGAAATACTGGTACCCAAGGTTCAAACAAGGTAACATTCCACAACACACACATGTTAATATTGATAACGATATACAATGTAAAACAGTAATGAATTAATGAGACTAATTATGTGATTTTCAAAAATGTTTACCTTGATTTACGTTTACAAAGGTTGAAGCACAAAAAACACGTCGCAGCAATTATTCCCACAGCACAACAGGAGGTTATGACGTAAAACACACCATCATCTATCATTTTTTTATGCATAACGATAAGAACTTTGTCTTTTGGTATTTTTCCATCTGAAAATTTTATACAAACATGATCAGAACATTGTAAACAAGTTTATGTTTACGATTGTATGACGTTACTGCAGTATGTCCTTACAACACTGTGGTGTTTTACCAGCTCATGATTTGTCAAGAAGTAACGTAAGAATATGGCATAATGTAAACAAACTGGGGCAACCCCTCTTTAAAATAATATTTAATTTAAGAAATTATGTTGAAATTTCCCTTATCCTTTTATATGTTTTTGAATGCCAATTGAAACCAGTTCAATGTTTAAATTTTGATGTTGTGACGGCAAATAAATAAAAACAAGGCCGATGTGTAACACTTAATGTGTATCCATGCTTAGAAGATAATGAAACAACTGAATTGATAAATGAATAGATTCATCTGTATTTAATCTTTATTTGATCCTATATACGCGGGGACCAAACGCCCTGTCGGGCTCATAGTTCTCATCTTCTAATCTCCAATTTCCTTTTGTTGGAATACAATTTACAATTTGTCATGTAGGAGGATTCTGACGACTTTGTCACTTCTTGCTGGTATGGTAATTCCTCACGTTTCTTGAAGTATGATCACGACTTTGCCTTCTCTTTCTTTCTGAGTTGATGGAAATACCACGATTAATTAACCATCGAACGTCGTTATTCTTAATCATAGCCCCCGTCCCTCACCTGGCACATCATTTCTACTAAAGGTCAAGGTCTATAACAGTATAATTAATTTATATCGGCTATGACGAAATCCATAACAAGCGCGTTATTCAATTTGTCTTTAACCCAGTACGGACTCCCAGGACTATAAATTCTGGTAACTTTCTCTTAAATGCAAAGATATTGAGGTGTGTGTACGATTTATTGACTATTTGTCTGACTAGAGCGAAAAAATCTATACCGTATTCATCAACGATAAATGACACAAAGCGCATTTCAATGCTGTGATATGAACCTCTACGTTCACATTATACAGAATTGTTACTGTCCTTGGTAGTCATTTGGCATTTGTCATGTAATTTGTTCTTGATTTATATAGATAAGGTTAGCTACTTTTGGTAGACTTACCTGTCCAATCGACAGCGACACATTCAAGACACCGGAAGTTCAAAATTTCCTTGTCCAGCTCGTACATTGCGACTGTCGCCATATGCCCACCTACGATAAAGCAATAAAGCTGATATTTGTGGTGCATACAATAATACCTTATGCTGTAGAAAAATTCAAGTGATGTTGATCTCTCATTACATAATGCTTATGTGGTTCTTCAATTCATAGCCGGAAATCGAGATAGCTTCCTTTTGATTACTGAAGTAAACAAAAGCATCATTAGGAAGGAAATTCTGGCAATTGTATGTGAGATTTATTTACATATTGACTGTTTAACACAGCTGTAATGTTGAAAAGTCATTGTGTACCCTGGTTTTGCTTGACCACTGCTAATCCTCTGCGGTCAGGTCCCTGGAATGAGACTGGTCCCTGTAAGGTAAAATTAACCAAGCAATGTTAATTCGTGTGAACTTCGGTTTCAGTTAGAAGTGTATATGTACTTCCAGAATATGTTTTTAGTTATCGTTTATTTCTTACAGAAAACATGCAAACAAGGAATTGTTAGTTAAGTTGAACGTGCTCTATATCAGTATTTTAATTTTTTTTTTTTTTTTTTTTGGACTTACTGATAAACCATCAAAAGTGAGGTCTTCTAGCGTTTTCATCATCTCTCTAACCAAACCCTCTGCATCGTCATAGGCTACAGTGTTCAACTGGATGTCCGACTTCCGTAGAAGGTTCCGGAGAGTTAGGGCCACAGTCCATACTGTGTCGTACGCGCTTGTTGCGTATGGACTCATGGGTGTCGTACCATTTAGTGCCAAATAGTCTTTTTGGAAATCGTCAAATGTCTGCATAGCATCACCATAAAACAAAAGATATAGGTTTCGTTAGAATTGTCAAGCTGGTTTGTTTGATTCTAAGATGTAATAAAATAACAATTTTGCAATCCACGAACATAGGAGAATTGATTACGAGTATTATCAATTTAATTTCATTTAATAAGATACAGTTATAATATTTGATTTCGATCGGTTTTATCAATTTTATAAATGATAGCCTTTAATAGACGAAAACTTTACACAAACTAAACCAGTAAACTATAGACATGTGCTAAACAGATACATGCAATGTCAACTTACTATATTAGCTACGGACATTCCTTTCCCATACTTAAACGTATTGAAACTGGCCACAGTAAAATAGCCCTCAGCAACAGAACGTATTTCTTCCTGTGAACAATCTGTATCATTTACCATTGTCCACCATTTCTCTACAAAGTCTCCAATGATCAGCCACACATATCGGGCACCGTACATTTTCAAGTGATATGCCTGTCAAACATACAGGTGTCATACATCCAGCTGTCAAACATATAGGTGTCAAATATACAGTGTCACCCATACAAGAGTAATACATACACGTGTCAAACATAAAGGTATCCTACATACAAGTGTCAAACATACAGGTGTCCAACATACAGGTATCAAACATAAAGGTGTCCTACATACAGGTGTCAAACATACGGGTGCCCTACATACAGGTGTCAAACATAACGGTGTCCTATATACAAATGTCAAACATAAAGGTGTCCTACATACAGGTGTATTACATTCATGTGTCAAACATACAGATACCAATAAAACAATTTTGAACACATTATGATATCTACAAATGCGCCATGATATCGTTTACCCATTCTGGATGTAAAATGATAGCCGTAACTTTGTTACCTATTTTCAAGGACATTCAACAGCACTGTTTTATATCTTGATATGTGAAATTAATTTGAAGGTAAATATTAAATTATCTTTGGTCAGTTGATGTAACTGAATAGACTGAAACCTGATTTTCCGTGTCATTGATTGTCTCTGTTGTTTAACTTTATTAGCAACAATTTATCTATGAGATTCTTGTGTTAATCAATTTACTATTTTCTACATGAAAATTGATTACATTTACTTTGTCTTTAGTTTTGAAATTATTATAAAATTACTACAAAGATGTTGAACACGTTCCATCAGGTGGAAATGGAGTATGGTAGTGCATAGCGTTGAAAAAATAGTGCAGAAGAATTTTTGTATGTTTTCAGATGAGAGCTTCCAATCTAGGAAATAGTATGTTTGTTTGTGCATGTATCTTCTGGAGACTATTGGTCACGATGAATACTAATATGTCAACATAATCATAATCCAAACTCAAATACTCGATAACTAGAGCAAAATATGAACAAAAAGAAAGATTTACACGGATACTCCTGAAAAAGTACAATGAGAATAAGACCACGTGTTACTGAAGAGTAAACGTCTTCTGTTTCATCGAGGACACTTTCCACTGGATGCGTAAAAACAAAGGTCAACAAAACGTGACATCTAAAATCTTATTACGTTCGAAACTGCACACTCGCGTCAACCGTTGATGACGTAGATGTTTTGCCTACATTCAAACCTTGTTGTTATTAGATTCGGGTCAGAATGCAGGACGATGTACATGCTTTAAAAGTGTCTCTGTGTGGATTATCTTTGAAAATGTTTGGTTATATCAATCCGTATTGTTTCTGAAACTATTCATGTCGTTCTATGAGCAGCCTATCGTTAACGCAGGTCGATAAAAACAGTGGACCTCATGGCGACACTTCGGAGTTTACAACCGATTAGAAGAGGGTGGAAGTTGGCATCTCGCTTGTTTTAAATGGAATTTAATCATCATTATCTATGCTTATTTGCCGACACATGATTAGCCTGGTTGAAATGGGAGATAAGTATATCCAAATGTTTCACTAAGAGAGTCATGATCGTTCTCCCTGCCGGGCAATTTGATGTCAAAATATGCCATACCGTTATCATAAATTTCAACGTCTATCACATGCATGAACAAATAAGATGGCCGCTATGTTTTGGAATGCGCCAGAATGATCGCCATGACAACGTATACTGGTGGTTTAATCATGAAAATGTCCCAATCAAAAAGTGCGTTATATCACCATCAATGTAGAATAATTAATCAATGTACTTTTGTGTTATCACATCGATTGGAAATGCATAGCTAGGTGGTACCATTAAAGATATCAAAAGTAAATACAGGCTGTGGGTAGTATTTGCCATTATCGACGTAACTGTACAATGACTATCCCTGTAAACACACAACCAATATCTATTTCATCATTAACCTAGGATAGAAGTTAATCGTCTTTTGATTCCACCAGACAAACCGTAAAATGTCATTGTGGTGCCTACGTGTCATGGGATACTATAGTCTTCGGGGTGAAACATCAAACAGTATAGTACAAATCTCAACATCTAGAGTAAAGTAAAATTAAACGTGGTCTCACATCGAGGAAGTTTTATACCTGGAATACATTACAACTTTACATGTTTTCAAATCGATAAAAACTTGATACGAGGGAAAATATATATTTTTTTAAAAATAAAGGAATTAAACATGGTAGTACACTTGTAAACTTCATACCGTAAGCAAATTACACTTAAACATGGCATCACACCTGTTAACTTCATACCTAGAGAAGATTTAAATTTAACATGATGTCACACCTGTAAACTTCATACCTTAAGCAAATTACAATTTTACATGGCATCACACCTGTTAACTTAATATCTGGAGCAAATTACAATTTAACATGGCATCACACCTGTTAACTTCATACCTAGAGAAGATTTAAATTTAACATGATGTCACACCTGTAAACTTCATACCTGGAGCAAATTACAATTAAACATGGCATCACACCTGTTAACTTAATATCTGGAGCAAATTACAATTTAACATGGCAACACACCTGTAAACTTCATACCTAGAGAAGATTTAAATTTAACATGATGTCACACCAGTAAACTTCATACCTCGAGTAAATTACAATTGAGCATGGAATCACACCTGTTCACTTAATATCTGGAGCAAATTACACTTAACATGGCATCACACCTGCTAAATTTTAAAATTTAACATGATGTCACACCTGTAAACTTCATACCTGGAGCAAATTACTGGAATGAATTACAATTTAACATGGCATCACACCTGCTAACTTCATACCTGAAGCAAATTACAATTTAACATGATGTCACACCTGTAAACTTCATACCTTAAGCAAATTACAATTTTACATGGCATCACACCTGTTAACTTAATATCTGCAGCAAATTACAATTTAACATGCCATCACATTTGTAAACTTCATACCTGGAGCAAATTACTGGAATGAATTACAATTTAACATGATGTCACACCTTTAAACTTCATAAATGAAGCAAATTACAATTTAACATGGCAACACACCTGTAAACTTCATACCTGGAGCAAATTACTAAAGCAAATTACAATTTAACATGGCAACACACCTGTAAACTTCATACCTGGAGCAAATTACTGAAGCAAATTACAATTTAACATGGCACCAAACCTGTTAACTTCATACCTGAAGCAAATTACAATTCAACATGCCATCACACCTGTAACCTTCATACCTGGAGAAAATTACAAATTAACATGATGTCACACCTGTAAACTTCATACTTTAAGCAAATTACTGGAATGAATTATAATTTAACATGATGTCATACCTGTAAATATCATAAATGAAGCAAATTACAATTTAACATGGCAACACACCTGTTAATTTCATACCTGAAGCAAATTACAATTTAACATGATGTCACACCTGTAAACTTCATAAATGAATCAAATTACAATTTAACATGCCATCACACCTGTAAACTTCATACCTGGATCAAATTACAATTTAACATGTCAACACACCTGTAAACTTCATACCTGGAGCAAATTACAATTTAACATGCCATCACACCTGTAAACTTCATAACTGGAGCAAATTACTGAAGCAAATTACAATTTAACATGGCACCAAACCTGTTAACTTCATACCTGAAGCAAATTACAATTTAACATGATGTCACACCTGTAAACTTCATAAATGAAGCAAATTACAATTTAACATGGCACCACACCTGTAAACTTTATACCTCGAGTAAATTTCAATTGAACATGGCCTCACACCTGTAACCTTCATACCTGGAGCAAATTACTGGAATGAATTACCATTTAACATGATGTCACACCTGTAAACATCATCAATGAAGCAAATTACAATTTAACATGCCATCACAACTGTAAACTTCATACCTGGAGCAAATTACTTGAATGAATTACAATTTAACATGATGTCACATCCTTAAACTTCATAAATGAAGCAAATTACAATTTAACATGGCAACACACCTGTAAACTTCATAACTGGAGCAAATTACTGAAGCAAATTACAATTTAACATGGCACCAAACCTGTTAACTTCATACCTGAAGCAAATTACAATTTAACATGATGTCACACCTGTAAACTTCATAAATGAAGCAAATTACAATTTAACATGGCACCACACCTGTAAACTTTATACCTGAGTAAATTTCAATTGAACATGGCCTCACACCTGTAACCTTCATACCTGGAGCAAATTACTGGAATGAATTACCATTTAACATGATGTCACACCTGTAAACTTCATACCTGGAGCAAATTACAATTTAACATGCCATCACAACTGTAAACTTCATACCTGGAGCAAATTACTGGAATGAATTACAATTTAACATGATGTCACATCTTTAAACTTCATAAATGAAGCAAATTACAATTTAACATGGCAACACACCTGTAAACTTCATAACTGGAGCAAATTACTGAAGCAAATTACAATTTAACATGGCACCAAACCTGTTAACTTCATACCTGAAGCAAACTACAATTTAACATGGCACTAAACCTGTTAATTTCATACCTGAAGCAAATTACAATTTAACATGATGTCACACCTGTAAACTTCATAAATGAAGCAAATTACAATTTAACATGGCACCACACCTGTAAACTTTATACCTGAAGCAAATTACCATGATGTCACACCTGTAAACTTCATAAATGAAGCAAATTACAATTTAACATGGCACCACACCTGTAAACTTTATACCTCGAGTAAATTTCAATTGAACATGGCCTCACACCTGTAACCTTCATACCTGGAGAAAATTACAAATTAACATGATGTCACACCTGTAAACTTCATACTTTAAGCAAATTACTGGAATGAATTACAATTTAACATGGCATCAAACCTGTTAACTTCATAAATGAAGCAAATTACAATTTAACATGGCACCACACCTGTAAACTTCATACCTGAAGAAAATTACAATTTAACATGGCAACACACCTGTAAACTTCATACCTGAAGCAAATTACAATTTAACATGGCACCACACCTGTAAACTTTATACCTTTTATCAAATTACAATTTAACTTG